CAAGTCTTTAAATTTTGCTATAGTGAAATAATAGGCTTATACCTTGAATCCACCAACAATCCATTAAAAACTTCACATATGTTATTATCCACTATATTTGACTTTGTCTCTATATGAAAGAAAGCTTTACACTAGTGCTTTAGGTTTGTAGTCAACATGGTTTCCCTTACAGTAGATTTCAACTTTGCTAACTTGTCTTTAGCTTTGTTGAACTCAACTATGGTTCTTGCTTTAACACATATCTTGAAAGCTTTTGGTACTTCCTTGCCCTTATGAGGCTCCTTAAAATTATTGTACTTGTGTTTAGTACAAAATTTGTGTTTATCATATGGTAACAGATTTGCTATTGCATGAATAAGTTCTTGCAACCATTTGAACATATAAATTGTTACATCACAAATCGGTACTATTGTTCAAAGTAAAAGAATTAAATTAATCCTCTTAACTAAGTATAAAGACTAAATTGGTCTTTTTACCAAATCATATTCTTACCTTTTTGCTGGTTAGATATAATGTAGAAACTCTTTTTATCTCCCATTAGTAAATCTTTCCCCTAATTCTTCAAAAAACCATTCCATGTCTCCTTTGTCTCAACCTCCACAACAGCCCATGAAATGGGATATATTTGATCGTTTGCATCTTTTCCAACAATGGTTAACAATTTTCCTTTATATGCACCTTTAAGGAATACATCAACTCCTATTACACGTTTGCATCCAAATAGGAATCCCTTCTTTAATGCACTAAAACAAATGTACATTCTCAAGAAAATAGGATTCATATCTGTTGTTGATTTCGCACAATGAAGCACAATATTTGCTTCTAGATTTTTTGACCTTAATTTGTTTGCATAGTCAAATGACACATCATATTCAGCCTTAGCAATGCAGTCAAAGGTCTTTTTCAACTTCATCTTAGTCTTCTTAGACTACATAGGTATTGACTTCACATGTAAATCATTCTTAATTTTAGTAAAAATGTCTTCTTTATTAAAACATAAAGTAGATGCTCCTTTTATCGTTACCAAATGTTGGGCAGCAGTAGATGATGTGCAAACTTGGTTAATAATACTCATTATAAATGTGTGATCAAGATTGAAAACTTTTATCGTCCAAGACTTTGTAGGATTGTTTAATGGCAATAGTATTTTCACTTACAATTTTGATCATTGTATATTGCCCTCATCCTTTTACTGTCATTTTTTTTCCATGCAATCCTTAATTGGTCCACAACTTTTTTGAATTGTTTCTTGTTTAGAAATATCATGCTAAGTTCAATTTTTGGAATGCCTTCAACTTCTTTAAGCACTTTGTGTTTAGCTTTTCTCCTTTTACTATGTTTTGGTTCCTCGTCCTTTTTCTTGTCCTCTTCATTACTTATGGATATGAAACTCGTTTCATCATTAGATTGTATATCTCCATCATCCTAATCTTGGATTCCTATATCTATATAACCTACAATGTGAAATTAACATCAAATATAAATAAAGCAAATATAAACAAAGCAAATTAACTCGAAATGAATGACATAATTTACTAACCAAGTATAATACCTACTATTATAGCACCAGAAGCCACCCCAATTTGATTTTCTTTAAAATTTCTTAGATTATTCTTTGCTAGAACAATCTTATCATCATTATTATCAAACAACTCAGGGACATCTTCAATGCTACCTTCATCTTGAGTTTCCTTAGCCACTTGCAACCATCATTTTGGACCATAGCATCATTCTATACCTCAAGACCAAAAACAAATTGGTCTTCTTCCTCTTCGCCATTCTTTCTTTCACCAACCTCATTACTTACCTCATCCTCATTAATCCTACCCCTACCAGCATCACTAAATACCCCATCAAGACCATCATTTTTATCACATCTACCACCAATATCCTTAAGTTCCAAATGTTCACAGGGTACAGGGAGCATTAAAACCTTCATAATTTTAGCAAAGTTAAGGATATGAGACACATAAATACGAATGTTCCCATTCTCCTTCAACACATTAAACATTTACACTTCCCTAACTGTATCAACGCCAACAATTTGCTTCAAATCATTATCTAGTTTTTTTTTTTTTTTATCAGCAAAAGAAGTTTTTTTTAAGGAGTACAAGGGGTACTCTAACCCATTATCTAGTGACTTATTGGGTTCAAGATAAGAAATGCTCTCCACTAATGTAACATCATATCTACCAAATTTTACTTTCTCATAAAACTCTCACACATTTAACAACTCAAAATTCACTTTCCATGTCGCACATTCCCCATCAACATATCTAAGGTTTCCATTGTTATTACATTTAAAAATACCGACCATATAGATATGCATTGGTAAGAAATCACCATTATTCTCTTCAATTTGTATTCAATTCATAACCACCACTTTTAGTTAATTAATTATTTAATAATAAATAAATAAGTATATATATTTCAATTCAATAGAAATAGAATCATGATTCAGTATATACACCGACAACAAATGTGGGGACCAAAATAACTTTTAAGACAAATATATAAACATTATAGATTCCAATGTCCTATATTTCTCTCAATGTTACATACTCGATTGACTCAACCTCTATTCTAGAATATTTTGACACGTTAAAGCCAAACAAAAAAGCCATTACAAGTCAATCAAGCATTAAGGAACATACCATATCCTTAATCTCCATGGATTCCAAATCTATAACTTCTTCAACTACAACTTTTGGGTTCTTTAGGGTTCTTTTGCCCAATATCATGGTCCATGTTAGCCCAACTTTCTAGACCAAATTGAAGAGATTCAATGGAGATATATACTTGAAGCAAATCACAGACTTTGTAGGTTCTAGGGTTTGAGATTAGAGAAGGAAAGAGAAAGAGAAAGGAACAAAGATACTATCTTTGCCGACTTAAACCCTAGGAAAAATAGATATAAAAATACTAAGATGAGCCCCACTTAAAAGGAATAGTGAAAATAGTGTGAATCTGACATGGACAATAAAAATGCCACTGTAAAATGTAATGGGTAAGTTATTTTCCATGTTAATAAAGGTTTAAAACAACAACTGATTTCGTGGCAACTTAATCTACTATTTGGCACTTTCATTGATGAAATGACCAAATTGGTCCCAAAAATAGAAGTTCATGTATAGGTTTAGTACTGTTTAAAGTTTAAGGGTAGATTCAGTTCAAAAATAAAAGTTGAAGGACCAAATCGAGTATTTAACCCAGAAAAATCTCCCTTCTTTCCACAACTCGGCCTCTTCACTTTTTCCCACCTTTTTTTATTACTAAGTATACATTTTTTCCGTCTCCTTTTATTTTCCTGAGGTGGGTCCACAAGAGTCCCTTTTCGCTTTTGCTTTTGCTTTTGCTTTTACTTTGTCCGTCTTGCGTCAGCTTCATCCTTAGCCTCTACATCTCTTGGCCATGAAATCTTCTCTAGTTCTCCTCCAGCTGACTCAAACGCCAGCTGGCACTAGCACTCAAATCTCTCTTTTATTTTTTCCACAAAAATTAAAAAATAATAATAAATAAGACAAAAATTAAAATTAAAATTCAAAATTAATATTGTGATATAAATTATATTATTTACAATATTAAAAATAAATTTTATATTATTTAATAATTAATTTTTTTATTTTTTAAAATATATAATATTATATATTAATTGATTTAATAGCATAACATAAATTATGACATTATTCTTAAATCTTTGTACCAAATGTTAATCCTTCTATCATTACTTAAAATTAAAATTTTTTAATTTTCATTTTCGTAGCAGAAAGCAATACCATCTTTTTAGCTTTTTAAAGAAAAAACTTTAATAATGACAATTAAAGAGAAAACTTTAATGAAAGATAAACCTTTTTGATTTACAAATCCCTTAAATTCTATTCCTTCTCTCTCATAATGCCCGTATTTGTGCATATTATCTATAATAATTTTTTTTACCCTACACTTTTTTAGGGGGTAAATTTACCATACACTTAATTAAAAGAGAAAAGCATCTAACAATAATATATTTAATCAATTAAAAAAATCCTCCAAACTTATGCTTAGTTGATCTATTTTTCTTTCGTAATAAAAATATAATAACTATTCTATCCATTTCAAAATAGTAAATATTTTTATTTAAAATTTATCTCAAAATAATAATAATTTTTTTTCTTATTTTGAAGGAGACAAATATTTTTGTTACCTTAACTTTATCATTATCTCTTCACTTTAACTATCTATTTGATTGTAATTTAAATCTCATTATTTTTATTTCCTTTTTAGGGATAATATGGGTAAAATTAAAAATTATTTTTAAATCCCAAATATGAAAATAAAATCAAAAAGAGTCTAGTATAGAGGGAGTAATAGATGAAATTTTATATTATTGGTTAGCCATTATCTAAATAACCATGCTTATAATATATTTTGTAAATATTTTCTTGAAATAAGGGCAAAATATGAATAATGCATTAAATAACATTTTAAGATGAAAATATATACAACTAATTTTGAATAACTTGATAGTATATTTGGGTTTAAGGGAATGAAAAAAAAGAGGAGTTTTTTTAAATAACCGAATTATAATAT